AAGAAGGGAATGGGAGGCACACAGAGCCCCTGCCATGGGGAGAAGAAGGGAATGGAGAGCATGAGGGGAAGTGGGAATGGGGTGCACACTGGCATGAGGAGGACCAAGGGAGATCCTAGTATGAGGGAGCGGGGGGGCACAAAGAGACCCTGGCATGGAGAGAAAAGGGGAATGGGAGGTACAGAGCCCCAGGCAGAAGGGAGAAGGTGGGGGAGTTGCAGGGAGTCCCTGTAATAGAGGAGTTGGGAGAGGAGGACACAAGGAGGTGGAAAGGAAGGAGGCCCTGCTGTGTGCAAGGAGCTCGGTCTACACAAGCTCCGAAGTGCGCGATCTCCCAGGTTATTTTGATGTATATCTAAAAAACAATCACCAGTCCTAGTCTCTAGGCATACATAAAAAATACAATCACATAATAAACCAATCCAACTGTTTATTTTCCCTCCAAACTAAAAAATAGCTAGCTAATGAGGAAAACAAGCCTAAACAATACCCAATTTCACCCACAAATGGAAACCTTTAGCACATTCCTCTCCATCCCCTTAAGGCCCAAGTTAATAGGCTGCGAACTACGCTTTGTATGTCAACAAATTCAGGCTACTGCAGTCCAAGGTGGATAATATGTTCCAGCGCTGAGGCCCCCATCACTATGGTAGTATAGCATGGATTGCGGGAAAGATAGACAGGTTCTAAGTAATTTAATGTTGTATAGGCCAACACCTAAATTACTGAGAAATCAACAGTCAGTAAAGATAATGAAGCACTGATGTCATCTTATTCCAGCAAGATGCCCTGCTTGATAAGTGAGTCATGAGCTTCAGTTTCTGATCACTGATGTAACTTATACATCTGCCCAGTGCTGTGGTGCATCAGCCCTTGTAAAGTCCCCAGTAAAATGTCAATGCCAGTGATAGCTAATGGCAGCTAGTCTAAAAGACCTCTAGTCTCTGTCTGTGTACAGTTGTCCTTTGCAGTAGTCCCCAGACAGTAGTCCCTTCTCTTGGGCCTAACACCTGGTCAGAGCACGCTGGCCACTTCTCAGACTAATTTCCAGTGTCTAGGGCAGTTTGCAATAGCCTTCTTCAGGCTCCAGTCCCTTTAGGAGCCTGAGCTAGCTGCTGATTGTTTGCCCAGACTTGTGACTGCAGGACCCCTGCTCAGTCCCTGTTGCTTCCAGCAAGTTCTGCACCATTCTGAATTTGGCTGTGATGGCTGACACTCACAGCCTGCTATACTTGTGGCTTTCTGTCTCCTGCTTCAGCCTGTTCCCCTGCTTGGCCTCCTGCTGGCCATGTAGCTCCTCAAAGCAGCTTCCCATGCAGCCAGCTTCTCTGCTCTGCTGCCAGCTCACCATGCAGCCCTTGCCTTCGCCCACAGCAAGGTCACTTCCTGGGTTAGGGTTTTTGTAATCGTGTCTGCCCCATGCCCTATTGGCCCCAGGTGGGGGATATGCCTGTGCATCTGCTCTGGAGGGTCATAGGTCAGCAGAGAAGGCATTGATGGGGGAATAGTAGTTACCTGCTTAGCAAATTCATCACAACAGGCGTAGGCCCATGCAGAGTGCATTGCATTAGCCTAGCTTTGCGGTGACAAAGCTTGGATGATGGTAGAAAGAAATGGTTGTACTCTCTTAGCCAGAGGGAGATGGACAAAAATGTTTCTGGTCATAGCTGGGGTAGGAACATTTACTAACAGCTGGTGATCAAACAATATTCTCCAGCTGTGGACTCTTTTAGGAAAAAGGCAGGCACATATGCTGTAAGATGGACTATATGGGCCAAAGGTGTTAATGTAACCTAGTCACTGTTCAACATTAAACAGTTTTATACAAGTTTTGGGATTTGGCATACACAGACTTCAGCCTGCTTAATGCCATGGCAAACACACCATTAAACGTCCTTTTAAACCTTCTATTAAAGATACAGAAAAGAAGGAAACATTTTAAATGTAAAGTATTAAATAAGGCTTTCATGTTAACAACATCCCTTGTTCCCTTTCCCTTTTGGGGGGTGTTTTTAGAAGGACACCCCCTCCCACGTTTGACAATCTCTTAGATAGCATGGTAAAGATAAGTGAGTAGAGAAGGGCTGGAGCAGTTATTGCTGCCGTTAAATTCTGATCCTGTTTCCTAGAAGACAAAATGAGACAGACACACACAAAGGGAGAGCGAAATGAACAGCAAAGACAGAAATGTAGCTTTTGTCTCTGGTGTTGACTCTGAGGCTATGTCTACACTACTGTGGTAAGTCAACCTATGCGATGCAACTCCAGCTACGTGAATAACGGAGATGGAGTTTATGTACCTTAGGTCGAGTTACCACGGGGTCTACGCCGCGGGGGGTCGACGGGAGAAACTCTCCCATCGACTTACCTTACTCTTCTCATCGGGGGTAGAGTACAGGGTTTGACTGGACAGTGATCTGCAGTTGATTTGGCGGGTCTTTACTAGACCCGCCAATCGACTGCTGGTGGATTGATCTCAGAGCGTCGATCCCAGCTGTAGTGTAGACCTGCCCTGAGTTGCAGTCTCACTGCTGGAGAAACACAGGCACAGCCCATGGTCTTATCAGCCTCTGCGAGATCTGGTACATTTGTACCAGCATCAGGCTGTTAAGGGCCTTGCTTTTAGTTGTCTGTTTCTGGTCATCGGCTTGCAGCAGTGTTGAAAAATATGCAGTCTTGGCCAGCTAAGCCAGATTCTTATTAGACGAAGGGAAAAAGGAGAGAGACAGGAAAGAGAAGAAATAAGGTGGGGAAGGAAAAGGACACATGGGGGGGCAGTGTGTGTGTGTGTGTGTGTGTGTGTGGAGAAACCCACGTGGTGTTCGAACACCACGTGGTGAACACCACGTGGTGTTCGGGATTCAGCCAGTAGAGATGGTGGAGTCATCTGCGTCCCTCACTCTGGCCTGGTCAAGTCAGGACGTCCCTCACAATTAAGATGAAGAAGGTCCAGGGTCCCAGGAGATGGTCAGGGTGGCAGCCATGATGGTGAAGTTTGCTCTAGTAGCCAATGTTCCTCCCCAAAGTCTGTTTCTTTAAGGACCCACACAGGGAATGGTGGGCAGAATAGCCCATCCCCTCATTATTTTGCCCACCAATTAGGCCAACTTTCACACTCACCAATTTTGGGTCACTGATTTCTGGTTCCACGCTTTTCTTGTTTACCAAGCACGATCTCTACACAGTCCTTGAGTTATCTCAGTAGGCCTTTTTGGTTGGACTCATTCAGTTTTTCTGTCTCCCTTTCATACTTTTTCCCATCAACATTTGTTTTTATAGGTTCTTGTGACATCTTATAAACTCTCATGTATGTTTTACAGTAGGGCAAATTTGTAGGCCCAATTATCACAACACACCTGCCTCCAACCTACTACATCACCTTTGTTTTATCTGCATTGAGCCTCAACTCACTAGTTCCCACGAGTCTCAGACCTTGGGTAAAGCATTCAACAGCAGTGCCTGGATGGGATGAAATAGAGATACAGAGCTGAGAGTGACAGAACACAGAAAGCATCACAGCCGTACTTCCTCACTAACTCTCTCAGTGGCCTCTCTCATGTACCCACATTGATCAGGAAAGCAAACAAGATGGACGCTTATGGAGCGCCATGCCTTCTGGGCTAACTGTCCAAGGCTACCCTTTGAGAGTGTTCAGAAAGAAAGGAATGGAACCACCCACACACAGGCCAATTCACTCTTGTCACAGTGCTTAAGTGACACAAGAACACTTCATGATCAACGGTACTGAGGGCAGCTGAAAGATCTAACGTCAGCATAAAGCGCCATGAGATTTTTTTCCATGTTTCTGCAAAGTTTGAATAAAACTGTATTTTGGATTGTCTTGCTGCTTATGGAGAAAAGAAGGGGTAGAGCGGAACCCAGCCAGGTACCACCTGGAATGCTCTCAGTCCTTTATGGAATTAGTTCAGAGGCTGCCTGGCAGAGCAGGGAGCAACCAAGGCCTGTGCTGGCTGTGCTTAGGCCTGCATGGAACGGTTTGCTGATGGGAGGGAGGCAGGCAGAGATGAGTCCAGCAGACCACTGTTTTGGCTGCTCTTGGGGCTGCCTGTAGTCAGTCAGTGAGTGGCTTGACAAGTGACAGAGCCAGTAATCTGAGCTTATAAAGCCGTCACTGAAGGGTTGGCTGAAGCATTGTGGGATTGGATTAGGAGGACTAATTGTTCAGTTGTAGTTGTTACACCAGCACTTAACTGCCTGTAGTAGCCGTGCAATGATGCAGAGTGCCATGGTGGACAGTGCAATGGTTAGCCTTGTCCAGAGCAAGAGTAACAATGCCAGCAGTGGTGGTAACAGGTGTAATGATGGCAGTGTACATATGGTGTGTTACTTCCACACTGGGGCTTTGCAGCAGTGGTTGCAATGTCAAAGCTTTCTGGTGTATACACGTCCTGTATTGTTGGATTGTTTGTTTGGTAGTGAGAAAAAGTACAGCATAATTCCTGAAGAAGTCCTTTAAAGGGGCTACCTCATGGCTGCTTCCCTCACTAAAAAGCTGCTCCTGCTATTCCAGCTCTGGTCACTTCTTTGGCCTTGCTGCCTGGCCAGTCTTTCTCAAGTTCCTCTTCTGTGCTCTCTCTACCCTCTTTCAGTTCATGTTTTTGGTCCCTAGTGTTCTTTATCTGTCACTTATTTTTGGTTGTTAATCAAAGTGAATCATACAATGCCTTTTATTGACCAAGTGCAGCTCTGTCCTTTTCTGCCAGATGTTTGTGGGGAAGGGTGCACTGGAATTAGCCAGCAGGCTTATTACATTATAATCCAAAGGCTCTAAAAAGTTGATTTAAGTGTTGCACATAGTGATTAATAATGAATGCAGTGTTGTTTAAGAAGTATATTTATTTCTAGTTAGCAGAGACCACATCTGATAGGCACTGGTTACCAAAACAATTTCTGTGTCTACTACGTGATAAACCCTATGCAGTGGGAGGTGCCTTGAAATGAGGTTACATATCTTGTTCCTACAGGCATGAATTGCAGAAGCAAGTTTATAAAGTTTCCACTAATCTCTGGCATGTGCTGTAATAAAGGAATCAAAGTGGAGGACAAGACACACAGACTCAGTTGATTCTCTCCATTCTGAATTGTCCAACTGGTAGGTTCAATTTCTATATTATAATTTAAATGTAATTCAGTGTGTGATGGAGAGTCAAAATAAAGAGCACACAAAAAATAATTCATGTAGGAAACTGAACATTCTGTGGGATCCATTCCTTTAGCATGAATAATTGTATAATCTCATTTACAAGATTCTTTATTTGTGATGTAAACAATGTTGAGTAAAAGAAAAGTGAGGGACTCCAAGTTTGTGTAGAATACAGGTAACTTTGGAACTAAAATGAATGACCTCCCTTGAAAGGAGGTTCAGTTTGAAACTAACATTTTTCCTTCAGTTTCCTGAGCTGAACATTTGTTTACAATTCAAAGATATGAAAGATGCTTCTTGTGTGCAAATGGGTTTTGCAGCACTGTATTTTCCATGTTGATATACCTGCCTGTTTCAAAACACTGCATTACTACACTATGTACAGCAATATGTACAGCACAATAATTAAAAACTGTTATATTTTAGTGTTGGGCTTGCTGAACTATACAGTTACAGTTTTGACTAATGTGGAAGGTACTGATTCCCTTGAGAGCTATTCCTGGCACTAAGTCCAATGCTATGCTCATTATTTTAAAGCATCATTTGCTGTCAGAGTGAAAGCATTGTGTATTGCTAAAGGTGTGAAAATAACATCTGAAAGATGAATGGGTGCTCATTATGAAGGCTTCTAAGATTTCTTCACATTATGGGTATCAGCTGGCATTTTATATCAACGTCATAAAACATTGTGAATGAGTAAATTACTATAGTATTAATTGTCAGTTTTTGCTAGTGTGAAGCGTATGCATGTTATGTTTAGTCATATTTGTAAACAATATTATAAATAATATCAGTTATGTATTGCCAATATGCAAGTTTGGAAAACAGCTGATAATTGTGTTTGTTAACACAGCTGTATTTGGGGGAGGAAAATTACTTTGGTAGACAACTATTCTTTATAATATAATAACTAGACCCTGAGCACTCTCACTGCCTGTGAAATCAAAGACAGCTGCTGCCACTTGGCACCTTACAGGGTCTGACATATCTATTCAGAGAAATATACGACATTGGAAGGCATTCCTGTGTGTTCAGACTTTGGATATACAAAGTCTCCTTCACATGGGTAAAGGTTTGGAGAACTGAGCCCAGAAAGGTATATCTCTTCCCTCAGACCACGGAACTTATTATCAGGGTCGAAGGAAAGTTGCAGTAAAGCTGTTGGAGAATTACAGGAAAAGCTATTTTATCTAGAAAATTGACATTTTTGGCAGGATATTATGGAAATAAATCTACTGAGTAAGTGGTTTTCCAGGAAACTGTTAGGTAGTTTTTACTTTAAACATATTGTACGTTCCAAATATATCTGCAAAAGTTGGGGATGGGGGATCATATTCCTCTGTAAATATACAATACTGTCACATAGCCTGAATCCTACATCACACTATTTTAAGAGATTCCACAAATGTTTGAGGGTCCAAAGTCAGGCTGCCCCTGTCCCTCAGCCAAGATACAGGAGTCATTTGCCCATTCTTGCCATTCTGGAACCATGGGCCTGTCTCCTCGCACCTTGTATTTTGTGCAAACACTTGTGCCCAGTGGATGTAACATGTTACTAAATGAAAATGGTAGCATTTTACATCTGCTTTGTTCTCACACTTTACATGATTGTAAATGATAGCACAAGGTATAAGGTATTGGAGAACCAGGTCCATATTGCCAGGTCCATCAGTGTGTCTAAACAGTGCTAATCTCTGATCCAGCTTTTGTTGAGGTCATTTGTAGATTTGCCATTGACTTCAATGGAAAATGGAAGCAGAATCAAGTTTTGTTTTTTTGAATTCCTGAAAAAAGTGTGTTTGAAAAACACACTTCTCTAATTATAGCTCAACATGTGCTGTACATGAATCAAGATCCCGCTGAAAACTGATGCCAAGGCACATACAAGGAGTTTTATGAATGTAGTGATACGGTGCAGTGAAGAAGCAACACAGTGGCTAAAATTATTTGGGGAGAATTTACCCGTGCAATGCGACTATTTTGCACCCACTCTGCTGGTGCAAATTGATCACAAACCCAAAAGCCTCTCCAGGAAATACCCTTGGAACAAGGGGCCTCCTTTGCAATCTAGTTGTCACATCTGGTTCCATGTGACCCCTGACGCTGGTGATATGCCAGTTCCAAGTCCTGGCCAGTGCACAAATTAGGGCATCTGCGAGTTGTGCCTTCGCTCCCCTCTCAGTCCTGTTGACTCTGGCTTGGTTATCTTTTGTTTGGATAATGTTGGCATTCAAGTCGTGTTCCACTAGTGTGAAGTGGGCTTTGAAGTTAAACTCTTAATGTGAACAAGGAAGTGCAGCAAGCCTATGGACTGGTCTGCACTACAGAGTCTTTGCCAGGATCGTAATGTCAGCAAAGGACACTAGTGTAGATGCAGTATATGCTGGCAAAAGAAGATCTTTTGCTGTCAGAACTTCACCACCTGCTCAGATGATATTAGCTATGCTCACAAAGCACTATTCTATCAGTATAACTGCACCCCCGCCAGGAGTTTTGCTGGTATAGCTGTATTGGTGGGGTGAGTGATTTTTTTTCACACTCCTACCCAACATAGTTATGGCAGCAAAGCTTCGAAGTGTAGACCAAGTCCTCGTTAACTCTTTTCTGTTACAGCATTATGTGTCCAGAGACAGAATTTTTGCAAGGCAAATATTCCTTAATTTATATAAAAGAAAGCTTAGAGTTTTTTAGTGAATGGCCTATGCTACCTCTCAAAAATTGAGAGTTGTGAGTGCTCATGAATTTCCATTAAGCTTCAAACCCTACCTTCTACCTATGGCATATCAACCTCTTGTTGCTTGCTTGCCTGCACACGCACGCACACACACACATCACCATCTTGTCACACACATATCACCCTCTTGTCACTCTCTCTCTCCCACACATACTCTCTCTCTCTCTCTCCGAAATTGGAAAGAGAGTTTGAGTTTGGACAATTTCTTAATCCAGGTAATATGTGCAGTTATTAGAAAGCAGATTGCTGATCATCTGTGGTGGCCTTTAACCTTAATCTCATCTCAAGCTCTTTCCAGCTCTGGAATGCTCTCTGGTGATTTGCTGCCTTCTCATGGCATGCCAGATTTCTAGCCAGATTTTTTCAGTCCTTTTGTTCCTGTAGAACCCAATGTGGCTGGAACATTAGACTGGAAGAGTCTGCAACAAAAACAGTATGCAGCATTCTGGGTTTTTGAGTACATAAGCCATGGCCTCTCCACTTTGTCACCATTGGGGATTTCACGCCAGTAATGTGTTGGATGAAAACGTCTATTTTCATTGTCTTTGGGGAACATGAAGTTTTTCACTTGCTGTGGCCCATGCAGTACAAGGAAGTCCCTCAGGCTACTGCTCAAGTCGGTCCAGAGTCCTGGATCATCTAGACTTAAGGAACTAAACTCAGGAGCAGCTGTTTCTTGCACTTCCACCACACTCTTCTCTGATCTACACTTTTCTTCAGGAATGTGCATGCTTACATCCATTTGAGATGGAGAGATGGATGCTGCAGTAGCTGCCAGGTCACCTGCACTCTGACTAACTGGAAGATCAGGCATCTCCTCACCACTCACATCCTCACTGGGGCCGGAAGGCTCACTCTGAACATTTGTGTCTATGTATCTCAGGAGAGCTCCTTCCTGCTTAGATAGAAAAGCTTCCTTTGCTTTCTTTCTTTTTCTGAATGCTGCCCCAGAGCAGTGTTTTCTTCTTTCACTCATGACTGCTGATCTGTTCCAGCTATAGTGGCTCTCAACACCAGGGCCGGCTCCAGACACCAGCGAACCAAGCAGGTGCTTGGGGCGGCAAATGTAAAGGGGTGGCAGGATGTTGGGCTCTGGGACGGCAATCCGCCCTCGGCAGCGGCAGGAATTTGGCTGCCGCTCCGTTACAGCGTGTTTCGCGCTCAGCGGCAATTCGACGGCCACACCATTGCTCCGCCTCCGTGTTCAGTGGCAAGGTGGTTTTTTTTTTTTTTCCCCACTTGGGGTGGCAAAAACGCTGGAGCCGGCCCTGCTCAACACTCAATTGAAGGGGACAAATAAGCAGGCTGGTAGCAGGGCCTGAGTGAGGGATGATATCAGCGTCTTAAGGGCCTAACTGGCTCCTACTACTTCAGTTGACTCCTCAAGTGGGTTCAGGGAAGCAGCAGGAAACAGAAAGCTCCCTGAGAAGCTGGTGTAAATCAGTCCAGGCTCCTGGGGGTGCTAGAGAGGTACATAAGAGGCTCCTCCTCCTCTCTCTCTCTCCCTGCAGCTCCTGCTGCTTTCTGTTATTCCCTCTCACCTTTTCTCCTGCCTGCCTGTTCTGTCTTTTGTGCCCTCCTTCCTCCAGCACAGCACTCCACCATCTCTGTGCATCTAGAGCAGAGAGAATACATATGCACCAGCAGCAGACACAATTTTCTACACTCTGGGTCCTAGTGGCGCTCCCCCACCCCCACCCCAGTCTGGCACCTGAGGCGGCTGCCTCAGTTTGCCTCATGGTAGTAAAGACAGTGTACTTAACACATGCAGTATGTTACTTACCTCTTTTCCAGTATCGTTCATGCTTTCTTTATCTCCAAGCTCAGTTGTTGTAATTCACTCCGAATTAGGGTTCTCTTGAAAACTGATCTGCAACAGATGCAAGATATGGCTTCCCAATCATATTATGACATAACTTGAAGTTGTTGTGACATGTCATATTATGCAGTACTATTACTGGATATGTCACAAAAAATGGTAAAATAAAAATAAAATACAAGGTAAATGTTGAAAGCAAAATTTTATTTTGAAATGAAGTTTTTAAATTTTCCAAAACAGAGGGTTTTTTTGGCATATCCGTTTTGTAGGAAATTTCAAAAATCTCAAATGAAATGTCAAATTTTCTTACAAAACAGAAATGCTGAATACGGTAAACTGTTACGGCTGCTTAGTTTAGCTGGATTGTACTTATTCTGTCTTCTGAGATGTTGTCTGGATTCTTCTTCCTAGTGTATGTGCAATGTGCCTCAGGTAGCACGTGACCAGGATTCATCACTAAATTTGGTCCACTGGTTGGATCATCAGCTTCCCTGCACTGGGCCAGGCACTGATGGGGAGTGCGACATAAATGCTGATCCATGCCCTCCGTGTGTGGATTGAGCTAGGGAAAGGCTATATTTGCAAATCTCCATAAACGAATACCAATTACACCATTTTTTCCCTAATAAAGTATTTTGCTGGGGAAGTGCTGAGCCATGCTGCTCAGTGTGAATTCTAGCAGGCATTGTGAAGTCTCCAGAACTTTCTGGTACTGTATGTAATGGGAGTATGTCTGCTGCTACACCCATTAAGAGGGTGCAGTGTGCACTCCCTTCCTTGCACATCTGTTTGGGCCATGTCTTCACCTCCTCTTTGGCTTCCTTAATGTCATTAATGGCACGAATCCTGCACGGTTCTTGTGCTTAGGTGATTGCAAGGGTTGAGGCTGACACCACCCTGCATGAGGAACACAAGATTTGGAGGCTTCTTATGCCTTACCTGCTATTATGCATTTGTGCATGGGGTTGAGTGCAATCTTGGCCTTCATTAGAATACAGAGATATTTCTCATGCTTGCATAAGCCAAGAATTGTTCAACAGCTTTTGCTCAAACTTTTGGAACAAATTCACCTTTTAGCAAAGACCAAGCTCGGGAAAAATCAGCAAAAATGAATAATTTTTTCATAAACATAAGAACGGCCATCCTGGGTCAGACCAAAGGTCCATCTAGCCCAGTATCCTGTCTTCTGACTGTGGCCAATGCCAGGTGCTTCAGAGGGAATGAACAGAACAAGCAATCACTGAGTGATCCATCCCCCATCATCCACTCCCAGCTTCTGGCAAACAGAGGCTAGGAACACTGCTGTGAGCAACTAACACTGTAATGGCAGCGTCAACATAATCTAACTCTCGTATTAGTTTATGAGGCAAATGCTATAAATCATGCTGCAGAACTAGCATACTATACAGTCAGCAGCCCGTATGACTCAGTTATCATCCCACTGTACTGTTATCTCTTAATCGATGTGCACCTTTATCTGTACTGCAGCGATAGTACTGTGAATGCAGTAAGAGAGCACTCTACAAAATCCCACTCTTTCTTTTTATTTCTTGATTTAGAACCGTGATGGGCCTTCTGCACTTGATCCTGCTATCTACTTTCCTCTCAGCTTCCATGACATCAGAATCATGTAAGTCTCATGTTACAAATATGTGACTGTCTCTTCTACAGAAATAGCTTGAAAGTCCCCAAATAATGGACACTTTACTTAAAAGTAGCTGGCTTAGTTCAAGCCACCAACCACAGTTTAAAATTAGTCCCAGATAGTATTACCTCAGGTTATTAAAATACATCAACCACTGCCCGCCTCTGAGATATTAAACTAAGGGTCTTCACTAGCAACATTAAAGTGCTGCTTTAACATGGCTGTGTAGTCGCGGCACCAGCGCTCTGAGAGAGCTCTTCCAGCGCTACAAAAAACCCACCCCCATAAGAAGAGTAGCTCCCAGCACTGGGAGTGCCGCTGTCTACACTGCCACTTTACAGTGCTAAAACTTGCAGCGCTCAGGGGGGTGTTTTCTCACGCCCCTGAGCGAGAAAGTTGCAGTGCTGTAAAATGGCAGCGTAGACAAGGCCTAAGCTTCCTTTGTCTGCTTCTGGTAGCTATGCAGGTGGAAGGTAAAGGTGCTTTATGAAAGGATAACTGGTATTCTAGGCCCCCATTCAACAAAATCACCTAAGCACATGGTTACGTTTCACTGAAGTCAAGCATATGTTTAAGTGCTTTGCTATACTGGAGGCCTAGCTAATATTTCCTCTCTCATTAAAGGTGATTTTTAATGCACATTGCTGTGTGAGATATTGGCTAAATGCAAACATGACTGCCACGCTTTCGTAGGCCGGGCCCGCCACCCTTATTTATGTTAGTAGTCCCTTCTGCTTCAATGTGACCACGCAAGTAAGGGCTCCTGGATTGTCTCTACAGCCACCATCTACCAGTGTAATATTATTTAGACCTTACATATCTCTCCTACCTAACTCACTGAATTGCATGTTGATTCGGACAGTGTGAATATGAAAGCAGCTATATAAAACACATTTCCGATTATAGGTTTCCATATGTGTAGGTTTACATATCAATCCCAATTTACAAATGAATTCAATTTATTTAAAAGCTAAATTCTGCTTAAAGTTGCACCAAGATAAGCTGCCTTGACTTCAATGGGTTTAGATCAAGTCCCTAGTCTCCTTTATAACTAGGCTTGGCAGAATTTGATTTAAATTTTTTTTGACAGATATTTCAGTGTTTATTTTTAAGCATTTTTTCAATCTTTATCAATTTAAATTTTAACATTTGTGAGAAATTATGTGGGGGTCACATAATTGTTTAATGACAGCAGATGTTAATCTTCAAAAAGTTAAAGCTTTTAACCATTAAAATACAAATTTTCAACATCACATCTGAATGTATACAAAGTAAACATCTTTAAATCAAACTCTCAAGCAGCATTTTTCGTACTTTGTAAATTTCAATTGTTATTGATGGAAGTAGTTTTTGCTGGTTTGTGTGTATATGGTGAGATCAACATTCACTGATACTTACCAATAAAAAGCTAATCCTTCCAAACCTATTTATAACCTTTCTCCTCCTCCTTTGTCTTTTTAAATGCTTCCATTTTAAATGCGTTCCTCCTTAGGCCAGGCAATGCTGTTACATCCTGATACTCCTGACACTTACCACTTCCCTTAAGTAGCTTTTGGGAAGGCAGTATTTCTAGCCTGACAGTAAGTGTCTTTTCTGCCAGAGGGATTTTCTCCATAGTTCCATCCGGCTACCTCTTCTCTTTCTTGACTCCTCTCTTGTTTTCCCTCTCCTCCATCAGGTTGTCTAACCCCCACTCCCACTAATTCTCTCTCATCTCTCTTTTCCCCAATGTGTATGTAATTTTGAGACCCGAGTGTCTATCTCAGAGCAGCTGTTTCAGCATTTGGGTGCTCACACTGGTGCACAGCCAACTAAATAATCAATTTTCAGTATCTATGTACCTAAACTGTGACATAGGACTGGAAGAGATCTCCTGGGTCATGGTGGTCTCCAGTCTTCTGATATCTCAGACAACCCTGTCATATAATCCCATTCATAAGTGCATCAAGCTTCATCCTAAATCTAGTTAGGTTGTTTTCCCCCAGTACTACTGTCGGGAGACTCTTCTAGAATATCTCTCCTCCTCCTCCCTCTAATTTCCATCCTACATTTATTCATGACGATTTTATGCCCAGTCTGAGCATTCAAATATTGAAGTCGCCACTCTAGTTTGAAAATTGGGTGCAGTGTCTTTCCCCAATTTCCTGTCTCAATTTCTCCATTTGTTTTTCTTAACTTCTCATTTTATCCTGCTTCCCCAATTTCTCCTCTAATCACTCCCACTATTTTCCCCTCTTTTCATCTCTCCACCAGATTCTGGTATCCCCTCTCCTGTCCTTCTGGTTTCTTTTTCTTATTCTCCTACTTTCCTGGAACTTCCAGAACATTCTGCATTTTTGGCATGTATCCCTGATGGGGTGTGTATACAATCTTCCTTCTTCTACTGGTCCCTGTATAAATGTTTCCCTTTAGAACCTCCTGCCTATGTGGTATTTACAGGCACCTAGATGACAATACAGTAACTCCTCACTTAACGTTGTCGTTATGTTCCTGAAAAATGCGACTTTAAGTGAAAAGATGTTAAGCGAATCCAATTTCCCCATAAGAATTAATGTAAATGGGGGAGGGGGGTTAGGTTTCAGGGAAATTTTTTTTTTGCCAGACAAAAGGCAGTATATACATTTTAAACAATTTTAAACAAGCAATTTAATACTGGTATAAGTTTTAAACAATTTTAAAGAAACAATTTAATACTACAATCATCATTGCTGAGTATGAAGCAATGGGAGGTGCCCCCGCCTTACCCCACACAGGCACAGCCCACTGGCACTGCAGACAATGAGGCAGGCAAGGAGGCTGAAGGGGCCGTAGGCTAGGAGAAGCACGGTGCGCAGCAGCAACGGCAGCTTCCCCTACTGTGCAAGCACCAGGGGCGGGGGCTCAACCCTCGCCCCCCCCCCATTCTACCCCTTCCCCCCAAACCCCCACCCTTAACCCACCTCTTCTCCCTCCCACCTCCTTCCCCTTTACACCGTGTCCTTGCTCCTCTCCCCTCCCTCCCCTGCCTCCTGAACACCGCAAACCAACTGATTGCCCCACAGGTTTAAGTCCCTGCTCTGAATCAGGCAGAGCAGGGATTTTAACCTGAAAACCAATATATTGCCACAAAAATTTTCAATTTCACTGAATTTTCCGATGAACAATTCCTGACCTTACTTTTGACTATTTGATTCTGGTTTAATTCTGGACTTCCCTCTGTCTCACGTAGTGCTTATTAGTTCTATAAATAACTTATTACATCATTCATGAAAAGAAAAATTTAGAAGGAATTAAAAATTGAATAGGACTAAATTAACCCCTGTGCTGACTCCAGAAAGTCTGCTGTTGCCAGTGTTCCATAGTTTAACTATGAGAGTAAGAATCAGTGTCCTTATATGTTTGTTACTTCATGGAGCTGCTAATCAATTAACTAAAACCATAAAGCAATCCTATTGTCCACTATAATGTGCTCTGGTAATTTAGTTTCATACCAAATCCAGCCTAAATTCCTTTTTCTAGCTCACAGGAAACATGTTGCACTAGCAAATGCAATCTGAACTTGAAGTGAAGCATTTGTAACAATGGGTATGTTGTATACTCATATGTTAATGAGAAGAGTATGTCACTTTGGATTTGCACTTATGTACTAAAAGCTAGTCCACACCTGAAAACTGCATTAATTCAACTTAAAACTGATTTAGTTAAACCGATGCAACCCCCTGTGTGGTTACTCTTATATCACCTTAAACCTGGTTTATAACAGCTTAGTTTCCACCTGGTGCAACTAACATAAGCCAGGTATAAACTGATATAGGAGTGGCTCCCTCTCCAAGTTGCACCAGTTTAACTAACTCGGTTTAAAATTAGTTAAACAGGTCCAGTTTTGCATGTAGACCTGGTCTAAATTATACCTCAGCATACTGTTCCATGAAGAGTGTCTCAAGATATGATGCATTAATGATCATACAACAGCACGACTCCTTCTGAAATGTTATTGCATTTTCCGATTAAAAATGTGTAAAATATCGGATACTCACAGGGTGAAATTCTGGCCCCTTTGAAGTCAGTGTCTAAACTCCTATTGACTTTAATGGGGCTAGGATTTTACCCATAGTTTTGCCATGTATTTTTTCTCCAGCCAGGATTGGGAACTTTTTATTTTCTTCTTTTCCAGTTCATGCAATGGAAGACGAAGCTTTGGTTGTAAAATGTCCCCAAGACTGTCAAAATAGGACCGTCAGATGGTATCACACACAAAGTAACCAGCTCATTCCTGCAGAAGAGGGTGGACGGATACATTCCTCTGGGCGATTTCTTTGGTTTCTGCCAACATCAAAAGAGGACTCGGGAAACTACACTTGTGTTACATGCTAGTAAGCAGAACACTGAAAAATGCAAGTTTTAAGGCTATAATAAGCACAGATGTCTGTTTTAGTTAGATGGACAGTTATAATCCCAATCTGTATAATCTCACTTGTTTTCATGGTATCCATTTGAATCCCTGAAACTTTTATATACCAATTGCTATTTTTATGTGGCCATTTCCCCCACATCTTTTAACTGCAAGAGAAATACAGTATCAAGTGCATACGTATAAAGCAAAAATAATATTCAGTAGAAATTGTAGGTTATTTCTAGCTAATCCCTAGAAATATTCCACAGCCCTCTGTGTCTGATCTGTTTTTATTTTTATTTTTTTAAGTTATAATTATAAGAAACAGTACACTGTGAGTGTGATGGTGTATCCACACAAGCAAGGAATTTGTTTCCCAAGTCAGATACGTTATCCAAATGATACCGGAACGTTAACTTCTGGAAGAATTGTTTGCCCTACGATTGACAATTATGAGAATGCTACTATTGTCAAGTGGTATAAGGTAAATAAAAACACTAACAACATCAATGAAAATCAGATTATTATTCCAAGTTACGTACAGCCATGTGATGAAAGTGTCTTATTTTTCAGGACTGCAAAGCTCTCCAAGGACCACGTGAAAAATATTTAATGGGAGAGAAGTATCTTTTTATTAAACATCCCCAAAAAACTGATGAAGGATATTATACTTGCCATTTTACCTACACGCACAATGCAAATGTATATAATGTATCAGCGACAAGACCCTTTATAATTAAAGGTAAGATGGTCATATTGCTGCTTAATAAGATAAGGATCACTACCTGCCTTGCTACAACAAAGTGAATTTTGTGTGTATCATTAAAGAGAAAAAAGTTCTCCACTAGTTTGTTGCTTCTTGATGATGAAGCTTGTGACCAGCTGCTTACAACAGATTTTTGTGGGTGGAGAAGGTTGAGATACAGAGCCAGGTTGGGCTCCATCTCATAATAATCTCTTTGCCTACCAACACTGCCTTGGCCCTGAACTGTGCTTTCTGACCACATTAAATCTCCCAGCAGCAGCCTCTGACAACATTGGCTGTTGGATGTGATGATAAAGTTGCTGTTCTTGGGGCTATTCTGGCTGTGCTCGTTTCTGGAGGCAAGAACTTGCTTCCTTGGTTCCCTCAGTGGAGTGCCACAAGGTTCCATTCTGTCCCCTTTGCTGTTTGGTGAGTATATGACAGACAGCTCAGACAAGATTGAGGTGATGAATATAAACAGAGGGAAACGTTTTGAGTTTTGTGGATGTGTTTTGAATTTAGTAGATGCATGAGACTTCATTATTTTGAAAGTGTATGGGCCTCTCATGAGACAGGAGTGGAATTTGGGGTACACTTTTGATTGCTGTCTTATCAAGGGGGCCCAGTGTTGTGACCATGGTCAAGGACAGAGCTGACTGGACAACAATTCCATTTTGCAGCCACATTTGAGGTTTTGAATTTGTTTTGGTTTTGATCCTCATTGGAATGTGGCGTGATTTTTTTCCCCTTCTTCCTCTGAAGCATAAGAGACGGCCACAGCTGAGGGTGGGACACTGGAGAGGGAGGACAGGTGCTCTGAGATGGTACCAAGCATTCTCTCCTCTCTCAGGTGCTTGGCTGGTGGGTCTTGCTCACATGCTCAAGGTCTAACTGATTGTTATATGTAGGGTCTGAAAAGAATTTTCCCCCAGGTCAGCATGGCAGCACAAATGGGCAGATTGTTTCTCCAGCACCAGGCCTGGTTCACTTGCAATGATCATCGGGCATATCTCACTTAACTAACTCCCTGCAACTGCACTGGTGCACCTCAGTCCCTCGTGTTTTCTGATTATGACACACAATCACTTAGACAGTCGAGGTAGGTAAGGTAAAATATTTTATTGGTCCAACTTCTGTTGGTGAGAGAGACCAGCTTTTGAGCCACACAGAGCTCTTCTTCAGGTCTGGGAAAGGTACTCCCAGCTTCAGCAAAATGCAAGGTGGAACAGATTGTTTAGCATAAGTAGTTAGCACCTATTCTGAGGGACCATTCCAGGTACATTCACTACATACCCACAATCCTTTTGGGCGTAGCAAGGCCCCAGATGGTCCCGGTGCAAGAATAGATTAGGGACCCCTTCCTAATTCTGCAATCTAAAATTTTGCTTACTTTTATCTTCTTGGAAAATCAAAACATATCCAACTTATCCATAAATACACAAACACAATATGCAGACTATGTCTACACATTTTTGCAAGCTATCTACACTTTATTTACACATTTGTACAAAATTTTTACTTGTAGTACAGTGCTAAATTTTATAGTGCAGGAGCCCTGCAGAGATGATCTCATGTTGGTAGTTCTTGTGTGTGATGTCACCGTAAGATACAGCACCTATATTTTAAACCTAACATTTTACCAGTAAATAGAGGCTAATGGAAGATCTGTGCAAGAACAATTCTCAGACTTCCCACATTAGTAATAAATACACATATTGTATCAACATAAACCACACATAACTCAGTTTTGATATGCCAAAATTTAAACTAACAAACCACACCCAGAGCAGGCATGCAGTTAGTCAAAAAGCCCAAGAGCGTTAGTCAATATTGTGTTACTCCAGATTCAAGCTGGTGCATCTCTACTGGAACTAAAGGAATGGAGTTATTATGCTTCTGTCAAAGGGGAGGAATGCAATGGGGAATTAAGCCCCAAATCCTTCACCCACAATTTTGCCAAGGAAACACTTGGCAATTTGCACACGAAAAGCATTTGCTTTGCATTTGCCAATCACATAGCTGTGCATTAAATGTAAGTAAGTGTTATCACCAATTTCCAGACCACTCCTGAAAATGTGGTCTCTGCGTCCCAGAAACCAAACACCAGGATCCATGCTGCCATTCAGTCAGAAAACCAAAGCCTAGTATAACAACAACTGCCTCTTCAGCACTTTTCAAAGTTCACGATTCCTACTTCATTTTCCATTACTGTCTAAGTAAGGCCCTTAAGGTAAAGCTGTTTCCATACAATAAAAATGTTACCTGACCTTGATAAAAAGCCATCTTCCACCAATATCTGTAACATCTTCTGTGGACTTCTAAAATATACTCACTAGTCAGATAAGGTTTGATTCTATCCCAGATGGGGCAAGATTTACTGGTATGCTTCAGCTACTTTCGGGCTGCTCCAGAAACCCAGTTTAGCTGGCTGATCAAACCAGGTTGATGATGGTTTTCCATTGTCAAAATGTTGCACAGGAGCTGGAGTGCACCAGTGAATTTAGACTAGTTAGGAGAAACACACATTCTAACAGTGAAAACCGATTAATTCTCATCAGGGCTCGCTCCTCATCTCCCCCCTGAAATCTCTTCCCCAGCCTCCTCAGCCTCCACCCCCTGAGGCAGGGGTGCCCCATCCCCTGAAACCCTTCCCCTGGGCCTGCTCAGCTCATCCACAGTGGGAACCTCCACACCCCGCTCCCATCCCAGCCTGCACCCTCTGCCTGGCCCCCAGCAACCTCCAGTCTGCTCTCCCATACCTTCCCGGTTGAGCTCCTCACTGTTGAAGTAGCCACCACTGTGGCCTCTGCCGGGGCAGCAGACCCTACGGGGGATGGGCACTGAGCAGCAGGTGTGGACAGGGTGCAATGTGAAGCTTCAGCAGTGCTCGCAGTGCCACCAGGATTAGCTCCAAGCTGCTCAGCATCTGAGCCATGGCCACAGCTGCAATCTTACCCACTCTGGGGATGGGGAGCCCATGGGGAGGAGGTGGGAATGCTTCTCGAGTGACCCAGCTGGGGGCTGCTTACTACTCCTCAGAGTCCCCACCAGCTGGTAGTCAGCTGCCTAATCTGCCTATGTGTAGACTGTGGCATAACTACAATGGTGCCTAAGGTAATGGGCCCCCATAACCTTAAGGGCCCTAGCACGACTGCACCACATGCATCATTGTAGCTAAACCACTGCTTGAGGGCTTAGTGTGCTGATCTAATTCTGGTTGTTGGGCTTGGTGTAGGGGTGGCTGGGTGGCGTTGGTGGCCTGTGATATACAGGAGGTCAGACTAGATCAGCATGGCCAACCTGTGGTTCCAGAGCCACATGCAGCTCTTCAGAAGTTAACATGCTGCTCCTTGCATAGGCACCGACTCTGGGGCTGGAGCTACAGGCGCCAACTTTCCAATGTGCCGGGGGATGCTCACTGCTCAACCCCTGGCTCTGCCACAGGCCCTGCCCCCACTGCACCCCTTCCCGCCCTCTCTCCCTCCCTCCCAAAGCCTTCTGCACACCACAAAACAGCTGATTGAGAGGTGTGGGGAGGGAGGGGGAGGCATTGATTGGCAGGACTGCCAGTGGGCAGGAGGCTCTGAGAGTGGGAAGGTAGGGGAAGCTGATAGGGTGGTGGGGCTGCTGACCTATTACTGTGGCTCTTTGGCAATGCACATTGGTAAATTCTGGCTCCTTCTCAGGCTCAGGTTGGCCACCCCTGGGCTAGATGATCTTTGGCCTTAAACTCTGTGAAAGCTGGAGTCAGCGGTATGCAGCTGTGCACAGGTTGTGCCCGCACACTGGAAAATGTGGACCTATAAATATGTCAGTAGCATTATTACTGAATTGCCAGCTTCCCCAAAGGACAAGTGCCATCACTGCTAATAGGTCAAGGAAAAGGAATCTACCAAGCTGAAGTGATGGGCAATGGTCCCTTGCTCAACTGCCTGAGGGAATTCCCCATCCTGTCTTTAAAAAAGATTTAAATGTTACTAAAGAGCGATGTAAACAGGTGAGAAAACATGACAGTGCATAACTAATTTTTCTTCTCCACCAACTAGCTAAAGCAACATGCTTTAGAAAGATATTCTTTCTTCTTTCCCCTTGTTTATGAGTATTGATGTAAAAATGCAACACAAATTAATAAACAACCTTTGCATTTCATACAAATATGCAGATTTTCCAAAGGATGTTGTCTTGGGAGTAAAATCAGATAATTCTAGTAAATATATGGACCACTGGTGTTCTGGTGTTAGCTTGCATTTCTTCTTCTGCAGTGCTAAAAGGTTAGCATGGCAAACTAGAATGATAATGTGGTAAGGCTGTCTAACACTTGCTTTCCTTTTACCTTAATTTCAGTATGCCCTTCACCTATACCTCCCCGAATTCAATATCCAACAGACAATGCTGTAATAAAAGTGGAGTGTGGTATGTATCAACTTCTTATCTTAATAATTTTTAAATGATGTTCTGCTGTGGGTTGCCTAACTTGGGATTGATAACAATATTATTGATAGAATTCTTCACCTTGAGGTTACTAGACTTCCATAGTGACAGAAAGTTATTTCCATTTAGTGGGTTATTTGGAGAGAGGCCAAGGAAAGATCATGTAAACTGAGCTCTCATCTCACTACTAGACATATTGCTTCGTAATCATAGTTTGGGTGCATTGGGCAGAGTGTGAGGATAGATTGCGTTGACTTCTGTGCTAAAGGATTTCATTTTTCCAGGTTGTCAGTTTAGCACCTTTTGTGCAGAGCAGCGGGTTCTGTCTGGGTTCTCTGCTCAGTGTCCCCATTTGGTTCCCTTGTTTTAAACCTATGATCTACACTCCTATTCCTGCTCCCCCACCCCGCTATTATTTGTCCCCTGGATTTAGTTGATCCCAGTTCCTGTGGCTGCTCCCTTGATTAAGGGGATGGACCTTTAGTTCGAGGTGGTTCTGTCCACCTTTCCAGGACATCAGACAGACCTTTTGCAAGCATTTTAATTTACTTAAAGAAATAAAATATTCTAAACTCTTTGCTATAATGAATCTATAATTCCCTATTTGCAGGAATGTTAGAATTCCTCTCTCTCCCTTGCACATTACCAGTTTATGCCATGAAGTGTAAGATTTGTTAACCTTATTTTCGGCCTTGCCAACACAAACTTGCACAGATATAATTAAATCAGTTTTAATTCACATCTTCCATTATTTGGTGCAAGTCAGTACAACTCTTATTTTGGAATTTTGCTTGTGTCAAGGATTATTTACAAAATTCCCACTGACTTTTGTTTAGGTTCTCCTGTGGACATTAGCTGTAGAGCCCTTCTGGGGATTGGGAAGCAAAATATAGCCGTTGTTACATGGGAGGTTAATGAAATCAAAGCTGAAGATCTCGATACTTCAAGGTTTCGTGAAGACCGTCAATTGTAAGCATCATGTGAAATAATTTTCATATTTTGCAAGCTGTGTCTATCCATTAACAACTAACAGTAACAACGTTCTCTACTAGTTTTATGGGACGTGACTGGGAATACTATGGAGAGTCCATTTTAAATATTGAGGAAGTAAAGGAAGAGGATTTTCTGTCGAATTTCACATGTGTAGCACTAAATGAAATAGAACATGTAAAGCTCACGGTGACATTACAGCTCAAAGTGCCTTGTAAGGGTAAGGTACCTTTCAATTTTCATACAGTTTGAAGAATCAGAAATATGTGGTTGTTTGTTTCAGTTGGCAAAAGTAAAATAAAAAAGTACCATCCCTCCCACTGCCACCCGACATGGTCAAACTATACAACGTATATATACTATACAACTGTATATTCACGAGCTATAATATGGAGAGTTTTGTTGGTGGACTTGTGGAGATCTGATCTTGAAGCTTTAGGATAAAATCCTGGCAAAATTCCCATTGACTTTGCTAGGGTCAGGATTTCACCCTCAGAGTCTAGTGTTCTGAGGTAGGGGTTCTCAACCTTTTCTTTCTGAGCCCCTCCCCCCCACCCCCCACCCCCCCCGCAACATACTATAAAAACTCCCAAGGCCTACTTGTGCCACAATAACTGGTTTTCTGCATATAAAAGCCGGGGCCAGCATTAGGGGGTAGCAATCAGGGTAATTGCCTGGGGCCCCATGCCACAGGGCCTCCCACGAAGCTACTTTGCTCAGGCTTTGCGTCAGCCCTGGGTGGTGGGGCTCAGGGCCCCAGGCTTCAGCCCCATGCTGTGGGGCTTTGGCTTTCTGCCCTGGACCCTAGCGAGCCTAACACTGTCCCTGCTTGGTGGACCCCCTGAAACCTGCTTGTGGTCCCCACAGAGGGCCCCGGACGCCTGGTTGACAACCACTGCTCTGAGGGATAGGATGCTGCTCAGTGTAAGTGTGGAGTGTTGCATGTATAGTGTAAATGAGAGGTTCAAAATGACATGTAGGGGATCCAATTCTGCGTTCATGAGCATGTCGCTGCCAAATCACTCCTTCCTTGTGGCGAGATTAACCTGCCTTGAATCTATGCAAAGCAACCACTTGCCCATGTGCTTAGCAGCCTGCCGTGCACCACAGAAGGACCCCAGGATCTAGATCTGAGTCACAGATCAGCGGGCGGCATAGCTCTGACATGAGTCTCCGTTTCTCTTATCAGCAGTGTTCAACTACTCTTTTTATCGCTTTTTGAAAAGAAACTATTGCTGCTAGTGCAGGACCAAGTCAGGAAACACAAAATCTTCAAGATCTTAAAAAAAGAAGTTGAAGGTTGAGCTGCCAGTTCTTGTAGAGCCAAAGGACTGCCCTTTCCCTCTATGCTCTTCTAGTCAGGTTCTTATGTCACCCTCATCACTGCGCACCTTCCAGAAGTGAAGTAAGCGATGTGACTCGCATTCTCTCCTCAAGGGAGAATTGTGTGCGCAATGGTTTGTTTTGGTAGGGTGTTACTTTGGGGGTGGTTGTTTTTTTCATGTACAGGCTGCTCAACGTGTATGTGAGAGAAGGCAGGTTGAAGAAGTGCACCATGCACTTGGAGCAGATGACTGTGAGGTTTGGGATGGTCCTTCGCTCCTGGGGGAGTTTGTTCCCCAGTCTCAGACCAGCCCCTAGGAAAGTTCTATGTCCTGAACTTGATGAGCTTGAAATTTTTATAACAGAAAGTTCCATTGTGCCTGAGGAGCAGAGCTTCTAATTATGGTCTCCATTCCAGAGCTTTGGGTGGTCTTTTAGGCTACATCTACATTACACATCACTGGCGGCGACATGTAGAGTATGCGTAGCTGCACATCGCATTGAATAGCACACCATATCCACACTATGGCGTGTAGCTACATATGTCAGCGAAAGGCTCTGGTAGAGGGGAGGCAGTGGGAAAGCCTTTAGCAGCTCCGCACTACAAGAGCCTTTCGCTGCGGTGAAGCACCTCTCCCCGCCAGAGCCTTTCTCCGCTGCCAGAGTTTTTCCCTGTGGTGGGGCAAAGGCTCTGGCCGTGGGGCACTGTCAGAGATTTTCCCTGCTGCCTGGAGTCTTTCCTTGTGGCATGGAACTGCTGGAGCCTTTCTCCACTGCTGGACCCCATACCCACTGCTGGAGTATTTTCCCGGGTTGGAGAAGGGCTCCAGAAGTGGGGAGGCCGCGGGCACTACACAGCTAAAAATAGCAGTGTAGATGGGGAGGCATGGGTTGAGGAAGTAGAGAGCTGTGTAGGTTATGCATTCAGGTTCATACCCACAGCCTTCAGATCTGTCTTTACTCACCTAAGCTGTGCCTCACCATTTACACTGCTATTTATACCTGTGCTCTGGGGACTATGCGTGTATGTACACTACACCCCACCAGAAGAAGAGTGCAGTGTAGACAAACCCTTAGATATGCTAAGCGCAGGGCACTGAGTGCCTTGGAGATTGGACCTTGGCCTTGACTTGATAATCTCTGGGAAGCAGCATAAAGAACGGGTTTGATATGCTCATGTTAGGGAAAAAGGGTTTCCCTCCCGTCTGAGGTTGGGAGGGTAGCCTTCCCTGGACTTCTGTATTAGCCAAACAGAGTCAGGACTCTTAGATAAAATGAGGCACTTTAATGCTAGCAAGTACGACAGCTGAAGGGCTCACCAATTCCTACACAGAGGAATATGGTGAAGCCCTGAACAAAGAACAGAGATGAGCTTTTATAGCCTGGTTCAACATACAGTGTGATATCTCTTCCAGTTCAAACCGGTTAACCCAGTCTGTTTGAAGTTCTGGGGTAGGTATGAACATGGAGGCTTATCTGTATAAGGAATTCTTTCCCGAAAACGGGGAGTACAGGTTACACACAGTTCCCATTCCTTCTACCCATAACCTTAGAGAGAAGACAGATTAGCATAGAAAGAAGACAGAAGCCTAGCTTTACATGATTATAGGGTTGTTTTCTGGTTCTTTTCTTTATCAGTTCCTCCCTTTGAGCCTGAAGATAATTGTCTTACATGGCTCATTATTCATTGTTTAACATGTTCATATGCTTTTCATCTTGGTTAACACCACCCTTTCTTATATATAATATTTTTGCTGGGCTCATGGCTTTGGTACATACCCGGTGGAAGAGGGCACAACAACTGGACACACAGCAGAACAGCAGACCAACAATCATAAGGAATCCCACTCCATACACAAACAAGGTTTTTAGCCATCCAAAGTTAGGCAACCAGCTGGTGAGCCAGCCCCATAAGTCAAAGCCCACACTGGGAGAAATATAGGCCTGCTTATGAAAGAAGGCTGACACGTTTGCAATTATATTAGTATCCGTGACTATGCGTCCGCTTTGATTCACATAAAGGCAGCATGTGGCATTGAGAAATGTGCACACCCCTCCCTGCGCACTTAAAAGCTGATCCAGGGCCAACCTGTTTTGCATACTGTAGCGAGCTAGTGAGCTTATTTCTTCTTGTAAGGCTTGGATTGCATCTCGAGTGGCGTTAGTAAATATTTCCATTTCGGCTGACATATTTTTTAGATCGTATTCAAGTTGGCCCACCCCCACACACGGAAAAAGAATACGGAAGGCTCGCATGCCTGCACTGCCTTCCTCGACAATAGGATTATAACAGGTATCTCGACAGGTTCGTTGAGTTGTGTCTTCGATTTCTATTAAGTCTCTACAATGCATCCCTGCTGGCCAGGCAAAGGCCACCGTGCATCTTCCTAACCACTTTGGGGGCAAGGTTTTTCCTGCCCAAGTACCACATACCCACCATAAATGGTGATCTCCTAATACTATGCTATAGTTGTCTTTGTTGCCCCCTGAGTTCTGAGAAACGTCCTGCAATTGTCCCACCAGGGATGCAGCATCATCAGGATTGGGTCCTATTCCCCCCAAGTTCCATAATGTAAGGCCAGCAAATTGAGTCGTATTTTCTCTGAGAATGTACCCCACATAGCCTCCGGCATGGGCATAGTTGGCTACCTCAGTACCATTGGGATACAGCAAAAGAGTAGTGCTTGCATTTTTCCCCAAAATTAGGATTTTCTCACAGTGGGTTTTTGGGTATTTTCCCAGTGTAGTTTTACCTCAGGAGCATAGTGACTGTTTCTCTACGCACAAGGGGTCCTTAACGAGCAAGTCTGGGCGATGGTTCGGGATCCAAGTCCTAAAATCTATGGGTCCCCTTCCCCTTTTTCCCTTTTGGCCGTACCACGCCGACCCATTTTGCCAAGAATCGAGGAGCGCTGGAACCGGCAAAATGGGGAAACCTTGCAGTGAATGGGAGGAGAAGTGGGAACACACCCAACAATCACTAACATTCCAGGCGTCGGTTACGTTTTGGGCTAATTGTAGAAACGTATTTTTATCCCAACCCCCCAGGTCAGAGGCCCAGGTTAATGCCCATAGCCATACATACATTATAAACACTACCGGCTACTAACAACACAAAACAAACAAAAAATAATATTAATACAATATTTGTAACAGCATAACTAATGCTCCACAGTTCTATAACTGCTTCTGATTCCGCTGACCGATCGGTACACAGTTCATGTAGAAGCGGCGGTCATGATGGCAGTCTTTGGGGATGTTGGAGTAGGAACCTTCTTACAGTGGCTGCAGTGCACCCATCTGTCGATGCCCTCGACCTTCACTGCAGTCGGAGTAGTCAGAAGGACTTGGGCCGGGGCCAACCACCTTGGTTCCAGGCAATGCTTCCTTCGATGGATTTTAACACAGACAAAGTAACCTGGAAAAAGAGAGTGCGCACAAGTATCAAGCGGTAAAGGTTGGGCATCTTTTACTCTGGCCCATGCATCACTCAATGCATCTTGCAACATGCGACAATAACCCGCCAACTTACCTTGCCCAGCCATTAATGAAGTTTTCGCTGGGACAAACCCGTCTACACTGGTTAGGGGAATTGGCAAGGGTTGGCCAAATAGAATTTCAAACGGTGTCAACGAATGCTTCCTATGGGGTGTATTACGAAGATTGGTTAACACTATGGGTAACACTTCGGGCCACTTTAATCCAGTCTGCTCGCATGTTATCAGCCCATTCACCCTTTCTACTTTTCCTAAACTTTGTGGATGATAGGGGGTATGCAAGGCCTGTTTTATGCCGAGGGCCTTCACTAAGTGTTGAATAATTTGGGAAGTGAAACGGGGGCCTTGGTCACTTTCCAAATGAGTCATTATCCCAAAGCGGGGAACAATCTCCTTGAGG